GAATCAACCACTATTCTTTTTCACAATTCAGTAAAATAATTCCTTTGTATCAATATTTAGGTGAAAATGCCAGGTTTACAGCGATGTTTCTTTCTGAAAGTTATGATTCAAATCTCTCATTTTCATTCCAGAAAGTTTGAGATTTTAATTAAGATTTTCCAAAAGTAACTTATCCCTGGAAGTCTGTGATGCTTTCACCTTAGTATATATTGCCACGTGGAAAATTAGAGAAGAACAACTTCGGGATGAGACAACAATTTATTTCAGGCAAGAACGAACTATGAGTGAAAAGCAAAAGAGGGAAGTGTACAGAGTATCAAAATATAAACATAAAAAATAATACATTATAAAGGACTGCGGCGTATGATTATAAAACAACACTTAAAGTTTCACCGCATAAGTTTCTTTTCCGTGAAAAATCAATATTTATTTCAAAGAGAAATATTTACTATTTCTAACTTTTTTGGATGAAGTATGAAAGGGTGAAAATATGAAGAGTAATGGCGAACGGAAAAATAAAAGTGTCCAGGGGCGGGAATCGAACCCACAACCTTCCGCTTACCGGGCAGATGCCATGTCCACTAGGCTACCCTGGACGTATTTTTCCGTTGCTACATAGTTCCTTCCCAATGGGAGCTGTGACCAACAGCTTGCAATTATTGTAGTTACTGACATGGATCTGACGTGCTTCTGCCAAAGATTTCATCGAAGTCTTGGAACTTTGTCCCTACTACCTTTGCGTCCTTTTTCTTGCGGCGTGAAGAGCGGCTTTGTCGTCGTATCGTCTATAGGGACATCGTCATCTTGGAAGGAAGTCTTGGCTTTGACATGTCGGTGGAATCCTGGAGCCAGTCTCCGAAAATGTAGATCACAGCATCCATGGCCTCTAGATCTTTTCGGCGATCTTCAGTTTGTCTTTTTTAATTTATCTTTCATAATAATATCCAGCATCTCCACCAAAATGACATGTGGAAAATTAGGGAAGACCAACTTCGGGAAGAGACAACAATTATTTCAGGCAAGAACAAACTATGAGTGATAATCAAAAGAGGGAAGTGTAAAGAGTATCAAAGTATAAACATAAAAAAATAATACTCTGCTAATAAAATAATAAATACTTTGTTACTATATATATTTTTTACTTTCTTTAAGTTAAACCATCACATAAAATAGCGGTGTAGATTTTACTAGTAATATTAACTCCTTTCTAGGATTTTCTTTTAGAACCCTTATTCACACACAAACACATACAGCTTTATTAAGACCACCGGTCTTATACAGATTCACCACAGGAAGAAAGCATAGATGGAGTACCTATACTCCAGGTAGCGCAGAGCCCAACAGTCTCCAGGTTCGACACATGTCCAGTGGCCACAGAATCCATCGTGCATAGGTTAGCGTATCATTGAAAAGACGAGTGTGGAATCAGCCGTGTTCTAGTCTTCGCTTTCCCCATCCAAATTAGAAGCCTTATTCTCAAATAGTATTGCCATATAAAATTGGTTGGAGGGCAGTCTGTTATTGGCAGTTCACTCTTTACAACGTTTTTCTTATTTAACTTCTGGAAGGGTAACTTAGCTCTTTTTAATATCGCTCTAATGAAAAATATTTTTGTTTTTTTAAGATAACTTCTACAAATAAAAAATCCTTACCAATCTCCCACTACTTTATTTTCTCAAACAACACTGCTTCAAGCGTTTTCTGATAGTTATTCAGCAAAACTATTGCATATACATATAAATATTTCTATTTAATAAATAAGGAATCAATGGTTTCGTTTCTTTTCTTATTTCTTTCATTTTTCAAGCTTTCAGGCTAACATGCTCTTCAGCATGGAGATACAGAAGTACAACTTCTATCCAATAACACGCCGAATCTATATACAAGTTTAGATATATATGTGCTAATATCTATTTTACATATTTTAAAAATCGTATATATATAAATATAATTGCCTTATTCTGTCTGTGTGAAGTTCACGGATATATTTGGTCAGAATGGATAAAATAAAAATAAGTGTCAAGGGATGGGAATCGAACCCACGACCTTCCGCTTACCGGGCAGATGCCATGACCACTAGGCCACATGACCACAATTTATAATTGAAACAAATAATATTTGAATCAAAACATTCAATCGGGTAAAACACGGGCGTTGCCCGGGTCATTCGGCTAGTATATAATATATTTCTATTGTTGCTAACTT